TAAATATTTCTTCGCATGTTCGTTCTTCACTTGATAAAATTGCATTATCGCGACTCGAACAATCCTCGATTTCCCAGAATTTAATTAAAGATTTATTTAAAGAGCTCTGCGTAACTAAACAATTGATTTGACTAATTCCTTCTCTTTTTATATATTGTGCTGGGATTCGACCTGAAATAATCCAACCGAATTTCGTATTCTATAATGTAGGCAAATCATTTCCGAGCTCAACCCTTGCAGGTTCTAATAACTTTAAAAAGAATTCGCTGCCCAACAGCATGTCGATCTGACTCGGACGATGGTATTGCGGATCGGCTAAATTTAACGTGTCGGTTATTGAAAAAGCATCACTATTAACTGCCACCGAAGGCAGTTCTCTAGTAATCCTCGGCACTACCAAACAAAATGCAGATAATAGATAAGTGGTTATTCTTGATTTTATCGTTACTTGACATCCGTGATTTATCGTACAAATTGAACTACCAATGCCCGAGACTGCCTCGTGAATGTCCTCTAATTTTAAATTTAATTTAGCACAGGCTGCTCTTGTTATAAAATTCGCTTCGCTCGCGCTATCAAGAAGAACGCGAATAGGTTGATCGAACATGTTCGAGTCTTTTACATATACTATTGCCGTTGACATTAAAATTTCGCCAAATTCCGCGCGATTCGTTGTGTGATGTACCGACAAATTAACGTTCGCTCTTTTATTTTTTCGACCTTCTCCGTTAACCGCTTCAATGTTTGAAGTAACCTTGTCTACTCGAGGCTCTTCTTGTTCTGTATGACACAATGTATTATGCCTCCTCGCGCATTGTCGACAGGAACTCGCTCTACAAGCGCTGACAAAATGATCGTTCCGTAAACAATTAAAACAAAGCTTCAATCGCTTAACTTCGTCAATTCTTTCTCGCACAGACAGATTTAAAAATCTTTCACACGAATATATTAAATGAGGACCGCCACATATAAAACAGCGCCCGATGACTGTTGACACGGCTAAACTTACAGTTTGATTATTTCTAGATGTCCTTGCCTCGTTTCTTCCTGCAGATCTTGAGGCCTCGTTTCTTCCAGCGACTCTCGAATTGTCAATCCTCCCTAACGACCTCGGTGTTTCACTGCCTCGTCTGGAGTTCGCTGCCACTCCTCCATAGTTCGATTCCTCTCTGTGGAATGCGCTGCCCAGTCGATCAAGCATTTGCACACGTCGCTGCAAAAAGTCAAATAATAAATCGACCGTAACAGTTTGTCGACCTTCCATACTCTCTTCCCAGCGGCGCCGAGTAACTCTGTCCAGCTTCTCCTCCACCATATATAATATCAAAAAATCCGCCCATGTTTCACTGGTGGACTCCATGGATTTTACAATTCGAAGATGTTTCTGGAAATGATTAATTAATTCTTGAATATCAACGGCTGATTCTCGCTCGACCTTAGGTGCTTCAAATAAACATTGAAGATGTCTTCGCTTTAAAGCTTTCTTATCTTCGTAACGGTTTCTTAAAAGATTCCAGGCCACGTCGTAGTTCCGTGCCGAAATCTCGATTGATTCGATGATCTTTGCCGCGCTTCCCGTCAATGCACCGACCAAATATTGCAGCTTTTGAATTGTCGATAAATCGCTGTTATGAATTAATGCGGTAAAGGTATCAGAAAACCGTGTCCAGTCCTCTATTTCTCCCGAAAAGATTGGCAAATTGATTACCGGCAGTTTGACTCTGGCATCAATTTGTGAACCATTTGAACTTAACGCTCTAATTACTTCTGTTTGCTGCTCTATCACTTGTGCAAGTGATTCGCCATCGTTAGTTGTACTTACAGTCGGTTTAATTGCAGCAGCCCATCTCGACAATGTTGCACTCAATTCTACGTATCGTTCTTCAAATACATCGTCTTCTCGTTGATCTTCCATTGGCAGCTCATTCTCTTCGATAACGCATACCAATTGCCGCTGTATTTCGTTAAATTCTTTGTACACTTGTTCTAATTTTTTTGAATATACTGTGACCGTTTCAATGCTCGGCGTCCTCTGACTTGCGTTTTCCACAAACTTCCAAATATGTGTTTGTTTTGCCTTGATATATCCTCGTTGGCGGCGTAATTCTTGCGCGCTCATTTTCGCAGTTGTTTAATCGTTAATCGTAATTGTTAATTGCCTTATTCTCAATCCGGCTCGAAGGACCATGTACGGGCTTGTATTAGATACTCGAATCGTTTCTCCAACTAAAGTCTTTATTTGCGTATTATTACAGTTTGCTCAGTTCGCTTACTCAATCTCGACTTCCTAGTCTTTTCGCACGCTTGTCTATTTATATAATATCAACTATTACCCTATTACCCTACCTAATAAACAAATGACACGTCGTGGTCTCTCATTTGTTATCTCGCTCGCAAGTATATCGATTTGTAATACATGTCGAGTTCGCTCACAATTCGGAGCAACAGTTACAGATTAAATTTATATTTGTATTATTTTAGTCACCAACAGATATGATATGAAGAACTGGCGCCAACTTCTAATTTAAAATATAAAATAAAAAGAGCTTTACATTGAAATACATTTTATTTTGTAGTTCATTTTTATTTGAAAAATCGTTTCATTATTTCTACAAAAAACATGATATCAAAAATTGACAAACTTTTAATTATATGAAGTAAAGAAGAAACTTTATAAAGATGAAAAAAGATGTTATCAATCTAAAATTAATTTGTAGTTGCCAAAAAAATTTTATTGAATTATTGTACTTGTGTTTATATAAAAATACAATATAAAAGAAAATTTGATGTGTAAGAAAAAAAAATGATAAAATCTTGGCGCGTCCGGGTCGCATTAAAACACATACATACATATACTTGTTATATTATATTGCACTCTTACTGTTTATCTTTTTACATTAATAATGTATATATTACTTTTCAAATTATTTGTAATAAATTTTTTATATAATTTTTATTTATATATTTTTCTTTAACTATTATATA